TACTCTTTTTCATCTTCCTGTGAATTGCGCTCCTTTTCTTTGAGATCCCAGATCTCTGTCTCCTTCTCCTTAGTTCAGAATGACATATATACCTTATTTTGCCTGTCTTTGGAATTTCTATGTCTGTTTGGCTTCTGCATACATACAAAATAAAGTTTAATTTTCTTTTGTTAATCTGTCTCATGCCAATTTGATTCTTAGTACAGCCAGAAGGACCATAAGTAGGAAAGGAAATTCTTTTTCCCCAATGGTACCAAAAGATGTGTTCATTTTCTCATAAATTCGTATACCTTTTGACTTTTTGAACTTTGAAATTTTGGCCTATTCATCTAGCCCTCAAAGAAGTTTTAACTTTTTTAATTTTGAAAGTGGTGATATAATTTAACACATTAAATTTCTTGAAGGCATTGGAATTGTTAGAGGGTATTGACAGAATCATCTATTTCTTTACAAGCAGTGTGAAAAATAAATTATCACTAAATTATTTATTTTACTAAAGTTCTGCTGCAGATGTTCTTTTTGAATATCCATTTACTTTTCTGTTGTGTCTACAGAGCTATTGCCTTCACTTGAAAAGTATAGGTAATTTTAGGATATAGGCTAAGTCTCTTGCTTATCTCAGATGGCTTTGGGCTCATTTTCAGTTTCTGTACATTGTGCTTGAAATTTTAGGTAAATAATACTCTAATTCTACACTCTGATTTTGATAAAAACTAGCAAGTTTAAAAATACATGTTTTATGTACACTTAAGGAGAATGATCATGCAATAAGTCTAAAGATTTTTTTGTTGTCCATAGAGATGTTATTGGGGAGACATACTGTTTTTACTTTACTCTTATTCTTTCACTTTTATGTCAGTCTTCACTTGATTGATCTTTTCTATAATTCAAAAATTCAAATTACGATAATGGTGCATGAGAAGTGTTATAAGATGAAAACCAAACTGATGGTACAAATAAGATGCAGCATTCAAAAATGGAAAGATAGATGTTAGTTCATTAAAATGTAAATAGACAACTGAGAAAGGTATCTGCTAGATAAATGTCAAAGGATTAAAATCATGGATGTGCCATCAAGGTACATTTAAGAATCATTTAAAATTCCTAAGAAAATGAACAGCACAATTAGAAAAATAAATGAAGGAGATAAGCAGGCAATTGACCGAAAAAAAAAAAAAAGCCAGAAACTGTGGAAATTTCATGCTGCATCTATTATTTTCACATATAGATAAGATGTACTGTATATAATCAGCTTCCAGGATGAGTTTGGGCCTCAGGAAATAAAATATAGTGTGCCTCTACCTAAAAGTCAAAGCCATAAAATTGAATATAAATCTGGGAATATTTATATGAAATTTTGACACCTTAATTTATATTACTTCTGTATTCTTGAGGTCAGTATTTATTTAGAGTGGTATGTATGCAATAACTCCTAGGAATCCTTGACCAAAGGATAGCATTCCCTTACACTATCTTTTTTTTTTTTTAAAGATTTTATTTATTTATTTGACAGAAAGAGACACAGCGAGAGAGGGAACATAAGCAGGGGGAGTAGGAGAGGGAGAAGCAGGCTTCCTGTGGAGCAGGGAGCCCGATGTGGGGCTCGATCCCAGGACCCTGGGATCATGACCTGAGCCGAAGGCAGATGCTTAACGACTGAGCCACCCAGGCGCCCCTCCCTTACACTATCTTAACTCTCAAAAAATATATTTGTAAATTTGAATGAAGTTTATAAAAATATGTTTAAACCTACTAGTAGTTCAAGAAAGGAAAATTAATAGCACCTACCTCACAGAATTATTGAGAGGATTATATAATTATTATATGTGAAGCACTTAATGCTTGGCACACTGTAAACCTTACTTAGTGTTAGGTATTACTATTATTAAATTAATAGTATTAATAAACACTATCTCATTTTTACTTATATTGACAAGGACTAAAGTAAATTTTTAACCCGTAGTATGATGTCAGATACATTATGCATTTTATTATATATTTATTGAGTTATTTTGATAAGGAGCAAATCCAATATGTGCAGGTGAGTCCTTGGCGTTTTTTGACAGGGAGCAATGGCAAGTGGTACATAGCTTTCCTTAGGAAAAATGGTAATTCTACGGGGAGTGATGATTTGGGGATTTGTTTATTCCTTTTGCTGCAGTGTATGAACCCGGGTAAATTTAATTACAGAGTATATTACCGGGTTTTAACTAAGCCAACCATTACAAAATGATCATATGTCTTGCTGAAAGGAAATTGCAGATTATAGTTGTAAAGACGCAAGTGCAAGCAAACAGTATCAGTTCATTATTTTTTAAAAATTTATTTATTTGTCACAGAGAGAGAAAGAGAGTGAGCACAAGCAGGGGGAGTGGTAGGCAGAGGGAGAAGCAGGCTACCGGCTGAGCAAGGAGCCCTACGCGGAACTTGATCCCAGGACCCTGGGATCATGACCTGCGCTGAAGGCAGACACTTAACTGACTAGCCACCCAGGCATCCTGAGTATCAGTTGATTCTTATCATCTTCCTGGCATAAACCTCTCTTTACCACTTGTTTTTTAATTTATTATTATGTCATCCCTTTCAGGTTCAGTTTTGGGTATTTAAAATGTATATTGCTCTATTATAAAAGTACACATAATACATGTAATTAAATGATACACGAATACTTTTGATTTAAGTATAGGGTCACCAACCTCCTGACTTGTTAGGGAATGCCCTGGGTTTAGTGTGTTTTTCTATAACTATATATAACTTTCTAAAACTATATATATATATATAGTTGTTGTTGTTGTTGTTTTGTTTTTTACTGATAGGGATGCATAATAAAAAAAAAACTATAGAGACTACTGTTTAACCATCTGTTTATGATCCTTCCCAGGGGTAAGAATGAGATAAACCTGGCCCAGCTAAGACTGATGAGTCTGATCACTTTACCTCCAAGTGATTAGTAAAATCTGTGGCAATTTCAAACAACCTAGTAAGACAAGAGGATCCCCCCAAAAGAATGCACTGTTTAAATCCTGAGTTAACTGCCTTCAGCAAATTGAAAAGGCCAAACCCAGAGCAGTTTGTTTAGTAATTGCAAACTGAATGAAATAGGAGGGTTACTTAAGGTCACTATTAAGAACAAGATCTTCTCAGAGTAAAAGAATTGCTAGTGATGACAGGTCTCCCAACATGTCCTTTGAAGAGTCTGTGGTTACGATCATAAGGAATAGAAAAGACAACTCCTTGACCCAGAATTTTTTCTTCTTGCCAATGAGGGGAAGCCCCACTCAGTAAGGCAGAGGTACTCCAACTAGCAAGCTTCTGTTCACAACTTCAGCATAGAGAAGTCTGCAAATAGAGACCCCCTTTTCTAAGAACTACCACTACTTGCAAGTTTCCATAGCAGTGCCAATTTAATATTCTGAGAAATATTTCTTCAAAATCAGAGGATATAATTCTATAAAAATTCATTTTTATGTGTTCTGTAGAATTTAAATTAATCTGATCTAAGGAAACATGCTTTTGAATGAATAAGGTGTCTGAAGAAGATAAGGAGGTGATTATATTAAAAATCAGAGGCTATTTTAATTATTCATGAAAAAGTTTAATTCAAAAAATCCACGAAGACAACACAATAATAAACAATACAAAATATATGTATATGTATCAGTTTACCTTTAGGTTATTTCAAACTGTAAGTTAAGGAGTAATTAATTATGGATTTGAATTTTAACAATGCAGTAGTTAAACAAATAGCAATAGTTTACCAAAAATATAACGATTCCATATACATGATGACAAATAGCAGTGTGATGGTTAATTTTATGTGTCAGTATGGCTAGACTATGGTGGTAAGTGTTTGGTGAAACACTAATCTAGCTATTGCTGTAAAGGTATTTTTTAGATATGATTAACTCCACAATCAGTTGACTTTAAGTAAAACAGATTACCCTCCATATGAGGGTGGGCTGCATCCAATTAGTTGAAGGCATTTAGAGCAAAGACAGATTTCCTGAAGAAAGAATTCTGCTTTCAGATTGCAACATAGAAATTCTGCCTGATTTCCAAGACTTCAGATGCAAGACTGCAACAGCAACTCTTACTTGAATCTCCACTCTGCCAGCTTGCCCTACAGATTTCGGACTTGCTAACTTACAGTTGTGTAAGCCAATTCTATAAAACCTCTCCTCTTTGTCTCTGTCTCTGTCTCTCTCTCTCTCTGTTGGTTCTGTTTTTCTGGAGAACCTTGACTAATACAAACAGATCTGAAATATAAAATAATTTGGCTTTTTTTTTAAGATAACAACAATCTTCCAGCTATGTGGAAATTCTTAGGTATATGGCAGTATAAACAAAACAACTCTCAGTCATGTTAAAAATACATTTAGGGGTGCCTGGATGGCTCAGTCAGTTAAGCATCTGACTCTTGATTTCACCTCAGGTCATGATCTCAGGGTCATGAGATCAAGCCCTACGTCAGACCCCGCACTGAGCATGGAGTCTGCTTGACATTCTCTCCCTCTGCTCCTCTCCTGCTTGCTCTCTCTTTCTCTCAAAAAAAATTTCTGTTTACAAATATATTTAAAAATGATTTTTAATACTTATAGTGGAGGAAGTTGGTGGTTGCTTTAGTTGAGAAGAAATAGATCTAGATAGTTTAGCCCATAGAAGTCAACAATTCAACATAACTGATTTTTAAAACTGAATTAATTGAATAATTTGGGTTTCTTTTTTTTTGTTTTGTTTTTTTTTTTTTAATCTTCAGACAAAAGAAATGGCAGGATTGACTGATTCTTTGGTTTGTAGAGGTGTTGTTAACTATACTACAGTTGTATAGGTTTTAAAAGGTATACTCTTTATATCCTGTTATTTTATACAGGGCACATTTTAAAATAAAATCTCCTAAAAGAACATACATTTACCTTTTGAAGGTTTAAAATTTAATTGATTTCCCTTTTAGTTTAATCTGTTCCTATCCATTTCCCCAACTATTGATATGACATTACACGCTATCTGAAACTTTCCTCAATAACATTTTGTTTCTGAATAATGTTGATGATATTCTTAAAGGAAACCACTGGAATATAAGGAAAATATTTAATATCTGAAATGTTCTTTAAGTCTACTGTAACTAAAATGACAATCTAGAAAATTAGAGAGTGGGACTCTTGATACAATGTAAAATTGCATTAAAAAAATCCTTAATTTTTTCTTTTTTTACTGTTACCCTTCTATACTCAATACATCTTTTGTTAAAATCAGGCATTAAATTTAGATAACAGATAAGAGTGTAGAAGTTTTAAGAGTTAAACTGATGAGAGTTACGTTTAGTCATAAACTGCTTGTTTATTGTCATGTCTGAGAACTTTTCTTATATATGAATGATAATTAAAATAGTCTCAGAAGAACAGGAACTAGGCACAATGGATTACATGATATCTGCTGAGGTGTCTTCCCCTGTGGATTCCAATCTGGATATTCTGTCAATAAAACACAACAGTAAAAAGCTCCATTTAGTTTCAAGGGGAGGAAGTAATTGAATCAATATTGAAATAGTTTGATACATACTTTCCGGTTTATCACGTTCTTTATTACCTAAGGTAGACAGAAAAATTATAGAATTAAAGGCATTCACTTGTGGGTGCCTGGGTGGCTCAGTTGGTTGAGTGACTGTCTTTGGCTCAGGTCATGATCCTGGAGTCCCAGGATCGAGTCCCGCATCGGGCTCCCTGCTCGGCGGGGAGTCTGCTTCTCCCTCTGCCCCTCACCCCTCTCATACTCTCTCTCATTCTCTATCTCTCAAATAAATAAATAAAATCTTTTAAAAAAAAAGGCATTCACTTGCCTTTCTGGTTTTTTAAACAAGGTAATAAACTTAGGAAACTTAGTTTGGCTTTAAACTTAGTTTAACTTAAGAAAATGAAAGCTTCCTCCACAAATCCCTCAGTGCTTAAAAATCTATATGATGCCTTCTGCCAACAAAGTCATGTCAACAGGTATTTCTAGAGTAGCTTTCACGTTGAAGGCAAAAAAAACTACAATTGACAAAACTATATAAACTAGTTGACTTTACTTGTGACACTCTGCCATGCCCATTTAAATTCCCTGAAAGAGAATGTAATTCCTTCATGTTGACTTTTTGGTTCCCAGAGCCCTCCATTAAATATCTCATTCATTTCTGGTGTGGCTCTGGCTCCAAATTTTGCTCTGTGTCTTTCCCTCATCAAATTTTTTCCCTCTATTTAATAAGATCCTGCAGTTGGTTAGGAATTCATTTGTTTAATTTCTTTCATTCATTTATTCACTTTTTGAGTGTGTACTATGTATTGAACATAATTCTAGGATTTAGATATAATAGTTATCAGGAAAAAATAAAGTTTCCTTACAGAAAAGTAAGGGGAGAAAGTCTATCATTAGTCTGCTCCCATCTCTCAAAAAGGAAGTCAACAAAACTAAAAATTGGCTTTATATAAACACTGATCAACATAAAAGAGAGAAGACACAAATCAAAAGTCATAGGACTTAAGTGGAACATACCAGAGCAAAAATGTTAATATTTATTTATTTATTTATTTATTGGAGAGAGAAAAGAGACAGAGACAGAGATAACGAGAGAGAGCAGGAGCAGGGAGGAGAGGGAGAAGCAGACTCACCACTGAGCAGGGAGCCTAACGTGGGGCTTGATCCCAGGACCCTGAGATCATGACCTGAGCCGAAGGCAGACACTTAACTGACTGAGCCACCCAGGCGCCCCAAAGATGTTAATTCTTTCCAAATTTATTTATAAATTCAGTGTAATTCCAAGGTCTCCTGTGGAATTGATAAGGTTACCCTAAGGTTAATTTGCAAGAGCAAAAGTTGAGGAAGAGCCAAGTGATTTCCGAACAATTTAGAAAAGAAACAAGTTGGGAGAACACCTCCTGCCAGGTAGCAAAACTTATTGTACCTTTGCAGCTTGTGCGGTGCTTTCTTGGAAACCCATTGTCGATAACTGCTTGAATCTTGGGATGGAGAAACTCATGGCAGAAAAGTCCTCATTAAGTAAAACTAGAAAATCCAGATAAAGTACAACAAAACAATGTTTAAGAACCTCAGAGATTTGCTAAAGCAACAAAGACTGGAGGGTCAAGATTTCAGAGCTGGAGATCCACAGAGAATGGACTGATGTTATGAAAGCTGTCTTTTTTTCCCCTGGAGCCATTTGTTCATCTTGGGCCCAGGTCTAGGGCTGAAAATCTGGGCTTTGCCCAGGCAGAGGCTGATTTTGGGGAAACAAACCATCGGAGCTTTTGTTGGCCTTGTAGGACCAGAGGGAGAAAATTGGAGAAGTGAGCAGTTTAAGATCCTGGTGAAAGGTAAAGGTGGAGGAATGAGTCCAAGAGATGGCCATTTTGTACTCAAAGTATTTGTTTAATTTTGAAGCTATGAGGAACAGGAGGCTAAAATCCTAGGCTGAAACCTTCTGGAAAACAAAGCAGATTTTTCAGTAATTTCAGAATGCTAAAATAATACAGATTAGAATTAAGAACCTATTAGGGAAAGGCAATAGTGAACGCAGCAATCTCTCAGTGGAAAGCCCTGGAAGTCTGTGCCCTTAGAGCAGAGACAAACAGAGGTGAACCAAGCCTTACATAAATTCTAACCCAGTGTTGACTAAGCTGTGTTTGAATTAAGGTAAACCACCTTGACTCTAACTGTTCAGCAGAGGAAAAGGTAGAACTCTGCATTTTTGTTTTACACGTGTTGTTAGATGTTTAATAGAAACTTATTAGGCATACACCAAGTGTTTTGGCCATGTACTGCTGTGACACAAACTTCCAGAACAATGGCTTAAAACAATAACAATTTATTATTATTTCTTACAATTATCTGGATTGGCTGCCTCTACAAGACAATTACTCTGCTCTATGTAGTGTCATCAGGACTCAATGACATAGTTGCATTTAGCTGGAGCTCAGTCAGGGTTGCAACAGAAAGATGACCTCTCCTGTTCCAAGGCCTTTCTCCATGTGACCTCTCCAGCAGGTTTAAGTGTGGAATTGAAATTCTGGGGGGCTTCCAACAGAGCAAAAGCAGAAGCTGCCAAGTCTCTTCTAAAGGGTAGGCCCAGAACTGGCATAATATCAAGGCCTCATTGAAGAGGAGGAGAAATAGTGTCCACTTTTTTGGGAGGAGTGGCTTATGTGTAAAGGAGAGGAGGAATTATTAGTGTCCATCTTTAAAGATAATTCACCACACCAAGAAACAGAGCATGTTACCAAAACCAAGAGAAAACAAAACAATTTTGAAACTAGAAACAGACCCACAGGTGATCCAGATGCTGGAGATTTCAGAAAGAGGTTAGAGTATTTGAGGCTGGTAATCATGGTGCTTAGTGTATCAAAGGGAGGATAACAACAACAGCAACAAAAATGGTAGGGGAGAAAAACAAGGGCCAGATTGATCATAACTGGACTTACTGGCCTTGGAATAGAATCATATTTTTCTTTAATTAGAGTAAGAAGCAATTGAGGAATTTTTAAGAAAAGGATTTGGCCTGGATTTTCTTTCTGTAAAACAGTTTGGAGGAGGAGAGGTGGGAGATTACTAGCTCAGGCAAGAAATGACAGTGGCTTGGATACTGGGCAGGAAGGGGAAGTTAAAAAAAAAAAAAGTGTATCATTGTTATCTTTATGTCCCTTTAACTAGAAAACATTAGTTTGCAAATAGGAGATATACAATGGATTTATTTATTTATTTATTTATTTTAAGATTTTATTTGACAGAGAGAGACACAGTGAGATAGGGAACACAAGCAGGGGGAGTGGGAGAGGGAGAAGCGGGCTTCCGGCAGAGCAGGAAGCACGATTCAGGGCTCGATCCCAGGACCCTGGGATCATGACCTGAGCCGAAGGCAGACCCTTAACAGCTGAGCCACCCAGGAGCCCTTGGATATATTTTTTAAACTGCCTTGAATGAAATTTAAAATTAGAGGGACGATACTTCTAATTCATTGTTTAACTGAAGTATAATATCAATATGAGAGTATGTATGCCTCATAAATGGAAAGATTGATGAATTATTACAAAGTGAACACATGTAGGTAAACAAAGCATAGGTCTAGAAAGTCCTTCTGGTATCCTCTTCTATTTAATTAACTCCTCTTTGCTCTCTAAAGGTAACCACTATCCTGACTCCAAATGTAGATTAGTTTTGCCTGATATTCTGATACTTGAACTTTATATAAAGAAATCATTTGATATACATTATTTTTGTGTCTGTCTTCTTTCATGGCACCAAATCATCTTTCTTTTTTTTTTTTTTACAATTTTCAGATCATCTCCTCTCTTCACTGTTTCACTGAAAATTCTTTTTCAATCAAGAATTTATGCACTTATCTTTTAAAAAAAATCTTTGTTCTGAGAGCCAAAAGACTGATAAAGGAAGAGAAACATATTAGCTTTAAATCATAATTAATTTGCACATTGATTAATGTATTACTTCTGCATGAGTCACTATTTTGATAATAACTAATAATAATAACTAATAACTAATACAAATAAGAAAAATTTCAATGAACAGTTATTTTGAGTATAGTAGCAAACTGGATCACAGTTATACCTTACTCCTTTCTGTCCTTTAGCTTGAGAAGAAAATCAGTGAAGAAGGGAGGGATCATCTGAGTTTAAATACGATAATTTATGACAAATGATTTATATCATCATATAGCAGCAATCAAATATTGTCATTAATTATTTATGCACTTGAGGATCCAAATTTTAAAATACTATTAATTTATGGAAACCCTTCTCCAAATAGAATGTTACGATTATTTTTTTTCCTTTTTGCTTACGGCAGAGATTCTCTTTGCAAGTTTCTTCTTCTGCACACAAAGAGCAGGCTACTCCTTTAGTGTAAGGGGGCTTATTTGGAAAATTTCCTCTGTAAAAAAGAGAATAATTGATTAGCCAAATGACTATTAATTGCTCTAATTTTGTACATGAATTTATGCAAGTTGTTTTGGTCACTCACTCATGAATATTGAAAAGGAAAAATAACAACTTTTGTCCCGATTTTATGCTCCTTTTGTTTGTAAAAAGAAACCATTAAAACTGTTTACAAGATGTCCCTAATCCACATGGCAGTTATATTCTCAAATATTCTGTAAAATACAAATTAGATGTGAACCCCTTGTAATTATGCATGTTGATAGCCACAAAGTTTTGTTGTAAACACTATGATTATCTCTTGATTTTGTAAATAGAATGAATAAAATTTAAATTGCAAGCGGAAACATATGCTTTATGTTCAGTACCATAGTTCTTATCTAGTTCTTTTGGTGATGTATCAATAAGACTTGGCAGCTATTATGCCTGCTTTTCTCCCATCTCTGTATCTGTGGAAGACTTTAAAAAGTGTTAATTACCTAGAGTACACAAAGGAAACCATTAATAACATGAGTAGTATTCCATTAAAAAATATGCGGCAATTTATTTATCTATTCATTTGTTGATGGACCTTTAGGGTATTCCAAATAAAGTTACTATGCACATTTTGAACATTCATATATAAGTATTTACATGGGCCTACGTTTCCTTGGATAAAAGAATGAATAGATCATATGGTAGATGCATATTTGACTTTTCAAGTAACTTCCACACAGTTTTTTCAAAGTTGTTGTAATGCTTTATATTTCTACCAGCAGTGTTGAGAATTCTAGTTGCTTCACTTCCTTGTCAGGGCTTGTATTGGCCAGTCTTTAGCCATTCTAATTGTGTAGTGGCATTCACGGTGGTTTTAATTTGTGTTTCCCTAATGATTAATGATGTTGAGCATTTTTTCATGTGCTTATTTGCCATCTGCATGTCTTCTTTATTGATCTTTGTCCACTTAAAAAAATTGAGTTTTAAGTTTTTCTAATATTGAATTGTGAGAGTTCATCCTATATTCTCTATATAAGCCCTTTATTAGATAAGCTTTACAAAGACTTTCTTCCCGTCCATGGCATGTTCTTTTTACTCTCTTACCAGTGTCTTTGAATAGCATTAATTTTAAATTTTAATGAAATCCATCTTATCAATTTGTTTTTTTATGGATCATGATTTTGATGTGGTAGCTAAAAAAAATCTGGCTATTTTAAAGTCACAAAGATTTCATCTGTGTTTTCTTCCAACAGTTTTACAATTTTGGTTTTTACATTTAGGTTTATGATCCATTTTGAGTTAATTATTATAGGTTGTGTGTTGTATAGATCTAAGTTTACTTAGAATGACAAACAGTACCAGCGTCATTTATTAAAAAATATTTTTTTCCACTGCATTGCTTTTGTTCATTTTTGGAAAATTAGTTGAACATATGTGGACCACCATGTATAAGTTTATTTCTGGACTCCACATTCTGTTCCACTGATCTATTTGTTTAACTTTACATCAATTGTTGTGATTATTCTAGCATTAATAATTCTTGAAAATAATAGTGTTTAGCCCTTCTGTGGCACCTGGGTGGCTCAGTCAGTTAAGTGTGTGCCTTCAGCTCAGGTCATGATGTCAGGGTCCTGGGATCGAGCCTGGTGTTGGGCTCCCTGCTCAGTAGGGAGTCTGCTTCTCCCTCTCTCTGCTGCTCCTCCCAGCTCGTGCTCTCTCTCTCTCTCAAAAAAAAGAAAAAAATCTTAAAAAAAAATAGTGTTAGCGCTTCAAATTTTTTTTTTCAGAGTTGATTTGGCTATTAAAAGTCCTTTTCGGGCGCCTGGGTGGCTCAGATGGTTAAGCATCTGCCTTCGGCTCAGGTCATGATTCCAGAGTCCTGGGATTGAGTCCCACATCGGGCTCCCGGCTCAGCGGGGAGCCGGCTTCTCCCTCTGACCCTCTCCCCTCTCATGCTGTTTCTCGCTCGCTCGCTCTCTAAAAAATAAATAAAATCTTTAAAAAAATAATAATAATAAAAATAAAATAAAAGTCCTTTTCATTTCCATATGAATTTTATGATCAGTTCATCAATTTCTACAATAAAAATCTGGAATTTTTGTTGGAATTATATTGAGTCTATAGATCAGTGAAAATTATGTCTTAACAATATTGAGTCTTTTAATCCATTAACAAGGTATAATCTCTTCAATTATTTGTATCTTTGTTAATTTCTGTCATGAATATTGTGTAGTTTTCAGTGTGGAGGTCTTTTATGTCTTCTGCCTGGTTTATTCCTAGATAGTTAATATTTTTTGATGCTGTTATAAATGGTATTATTATTTTAATTTAATTTATGATTATTTATTGCTAGTATATGAACATGTAACTGAGTTTTGTATATTGATCTTGTGTCCTGAAAAATTACTAAGTTCACTTATTAGTTTTAGAAGAATTTTCAGATTTCATTGAATTTTTTTTATATAGACCTGTAGACCAGAAGTCAGTGAAGTATGGCCCATAGGCCAAGTCTGGCCTATTTTTGTGCCGTCTGCAAGCAAAGAATTTTTTTTTTTTTTACATGTTTAATGGGTTCTTTAAAACAAAATAAAAACAAAGATGAAGGTAACAATATATATGGCATGCAAAGCTTAATATATTTACTCTCTGGTACTTTACAGAAATTTTTTTTTTTACTATTGGTATAATATTACATATAGGTTTTTCACAGCTGTCCTTTATTAGGTTTAGGAAGTTCCCTTCTATTTCCAGTTTTCTGAGAGCTTATATCAGGAATGAATGCTTAGCTTTTTCTCAATCTATTGAGATGATCATGTG